AAGATGGGAGGCTTAATTCCAGAGGAAATTAGTTGCCCTTAGATTGCATTGAAATCAATAGAACTTCACTTAGTTGTAATTAATTTCAGTTAGTTGTAGTACCACTGATTTCAGTGGGACTGAAGAGTATCTAAGTTTTGCTACCTCTAACCCAATGTTTTTCAAACTTGGCCACTTTAGATGTGTGGACTTCAACTCCCAGAATTCCCCAGCCAGCATGATGGTTGGGGAATTCTGGGAGTTGAAGTCCACACATCTTAAAGTGGCCAAGTTTGAAAAACATTGGGTTAGAGGTAGCAAAACGTAGATACTCTTCAGTCCCACTGAAATCAGTGGTACTACAACTAACTGAAATTAATTACAACTAAGTGAAGTTCTATTGATTTCAATGCAATCTAAGGGCAACTAATTTCCTCTGGAATTAAGCCTCCCATCTTGGTACACATCAATCAGTGGTACTACAACTAACTGAAATTAATTACAACTAAGTGAAGTTCTATTGATTTCAATGCAATCTAAGGGCAACTAATTTCCTCTGGAATTAAGCCTCCCATCTTGGTACACATCCACACATCTTAAAGTGGCCAAGTTTGAAAAACACTGATCCAACCCAAGGTAACTTCAGCTGCTTTGAAACCACCACACAGAATGGATGTTGTCGGCCCTTCTGCTTTCCAAAGCTGGGTAAACCTTGTGCATAACAGAGTTGTACTATAAGAAAACAGGGCAGAAATCACTGGGGCATTGTCAGTTTTCTCTGCCTGTGCAGAGGTGCCTTTGCTTTTGTCTCCCTACCCCAGCAGCTGGGCCACACTGCACGGAGCGACGGGAATGAAAGATGATTGCAATGCCACGCACTGCTTTAAAAACAACAGCAACAACTCAGTGAGGGAACTCTTTTAATGACCTCAGGACATAAAACTACCTATTCCTGCAGACAAAATTTGTAGCACAAACCAGCGAACGTACCAATACGTGCCTCCTCAGGGTAGACATATCTGTGAAAGTTCTCTCACAAGCCCTACATTTGTAGGGCTTCTCTCCAGTGTGAATACGCTGGTGACGTCTTAGGGCTCCTTGCTGAGTAAATGTCTTTCCACACTGCTCACAGAAATAAGGAGGAGTCTCTGGGAAGAAAATGAATGTGAAAAAAATAAACTTATTTCCGATCCCAAGGCTATTTTGAAAACATATTTCTATCTTGGTTTCTGACCCTCAGAAGACTTGTCACTTGCAGAGGTGAAGACAAGCTGGAACATGCTTGCATATTTATTGGACTGGTATACGTAGGTCTTTGGCTTACGAGCTAAATTATTTTAAGTGCAATCAATGAATGGAAAGCTATTACTTTTTAAACAAAAAAAAACCAATGTGGAGATCCTAGTTTCCTTTGCGTGATATTTGTATGGAACTTATTCCATTTATGGTGATTGTAGACCCCAAAACCCAGAAACCTGTTTTGCATATCCATCTCCTGAATCCACCATTCCTCCCTTACCTGCGTGCACATTACTATGTTGGGCTAATGAAGCTCTCAATCCAAAGGTTTTTCCACACACATCACACTTGTATGGCTTAGCTCCCATGTGACAACGCTTGTGACATTTTAAATATTCATTGGTAGCAAAATGTTTCCCACACACATCGCATCTGAAGAGGCGTTCTCCTGTAAAGGAAATGCATGCATACAGTACATACAAATATACATACTGTAGCCATCACTATACTCTCTTTCATGGTAAGCAATGTTATACAGAGGGCAGAAAAGGAATAATGAATGAACATTTCAGTTCCAATGCAGGATCATCCAAGTTGAGGATCACCCATAGGAGGTTTTCCAAAATATTGTTTTCTTAAGCTTTTCTTAATACATTTCTCTTTTCCTTCCCCTTGACTTTCAAATAACTTTCAGTAATAATGTATTTTTCTGTTCATAATACCCAGAAACTTCATGCAGATGTCAAGCCATGAAGAACCTGAAATGGTGTCAGTTTGCTTCATCCCAATTATCACATGTCCAAGGTCTCATTTGTAACATAACATGCTTGCAGCAGCATATAGGTAGTCCTCGCTTAGCGGCTGTGCTGTGGTCACTAAATGAAATGTCATGTGACCACAATGGGCTTACAACCTCACTTCCCCTTCAGTCGTTAAGCGAATCACTGCAGTTGTTACACAAAACATCATGTGACCACGACTTACAATTTTACTTCTGCCTTCTCTATTAACTCTGCTTGTTGCAAGCCAGTTGCAAAGCACCCAAATGGCGATCACATGACAGGATGCTGCAGGGCACTGCAATGGTCATAAATCTGAGGATTGGTTGCAAAGCTACTTTTTTATACTGTGTAACTTCAAACGGTCATTAAACGAGGCAGTCAGTAAGCAAGGACTACCTGTACTCTTCTTGCTTCTTTTTCTTCTTTTACAAATTCAGTGTAATGTTATTACATTGAATAACTGGCACCTGATAGCCCCATCTCTTTTGCAAGTAACTCCTTCTGTAAAATGAGAGAAGGATGGGATGGACAGAGGGAGCTGAAGCTCACCCCTGCATTTCTCCTAAAATTGTATAAAAAGAAAAGGGTGATGTTCAGGGGAGAGTTAAGCATTCCTTTCCTCCTGAAGGATCTCTGCAGTGCAGAAGGTTCTTGGACTAACATTATGCACAGTTGCAATGTCACAGACAGCTTGATCTTGCAGAATGAGTGGGCAACACGCAAACCTTGGCTACATTATATGCAGCTTTTTGGAGCTGTGGGGAACCTTGTCACCATCAGCTGGTTGGCAGAAAAAGGCTTTCCAGTGAGGACTAGATCCCTGTTTTCCCACTGCTAAGAGCAGCGGGAAACCAGGAATGTGTGCACGCACAGGCAGTCAGACCCAGATTATTCTCTACGTGGCTATCAGAAAACAGGCTGAATTGCTTGCATCAAGATACTGCACTATTGATTTTCTTCTCATTAAAAAATCTGATATTCCTCCTTTGCAACTAAGTAAATTTGGCCTTTTGCCATGTTTAGGAAATGAATTTAAGCCTTACCTGTATGTGTCCTCTTATGACCATTGAGTTTGCCTTTATCAGCAAAAGATGCCCCACAGTCCTCACAAACATATGGCTTTTCACCTGTGTGAGACCTGCATTCAGAGGAACATGAAAACGCTGTCAAAGCTATTCAAAATCAAATTTTGCTCCCAATTTTCCCATTTGCAAAAAGTTCATCAAGACCTTCCACTACAAACCAAGAGTGTGCAAGAAACCAACTCATTAAGTTTAAGAGCTCAGAGAAAAACATTGCCAATTCAAGGACCGAGGTTTCTATTGAAGCATAGAGGGAAAGAATTCCTATCCTGTCCTGGTTCAGATTCAATTTAATAAGGGCTGAGCATAAGGCTATATGCAAATAATGTATCCTAAGGCTCTGCTTTTAAAAAATAAACAGGATTAAATATTTAATTTATATAATAAATATGTATATATATTTTAGAACAAAATGCATTCATTTATTTGTTAGATTTATATCCCACCTTTCATTCAGGAACTCAGGGAAGGATACGTAGTGCAATGTAATTCCCCACATCAAGAATCTTGTGAGGTAATTCAAGCTGAGTCATTGGCCTAAAGTGAGTCAATGAGCTTCTGTGGCAGAGGGTAGACTAGAACCTGGGTCTCCTCAGGGCCAGTCCAACACCTTAACCCTTGCAGGTAGTCCTCAAGTTACGACTGCAATTGGGACTGGGATTGCAGTTACTAAGTGATGCGGTTGTAAAGTGTGATATCACATGACTGCATTGCTTAGCAACGGCAATCCAGGCAGTGCCGTGACATGCAAGTTGTTAAGCTGCAAGCAGAGGGACTCCCAGGTAAGGAGCACGGGGGTGCTGCAAGGGGATGGGGAAGGCCTTGGGCGGCTCAACGCAGGCCATGCACAAGCTGGGGGAGGGGGTGCTTGGTGCAGCCCGAGCTTAGAAAGCCCGGGGAATGAGGGCGTGGGCTGCATGCAATCGCAGGGAGGCTGGGAAAAGTCGGCGCAGGGTGCATGTGATCGCAGAAAGACTGTGGGAAGAGGGCACAT